GCCGACATCTGGCAAAGAAGTTACTAACTAAACTTACAGGTGAGCACGAATTACCACTCAAACCGCAAAAGAAACACCCGTGAAATCTGGTCTTGCCATATGTAATTTGGCATATCCCTCTATGGAACATCGCTTGTAATGAGTGGCATTTCTTCGATCTTTTCCACGCGAATGATGTAAAGGATGATGCCACTTTGCCTATATTTTCTGACATTTTATAAAGATATCTTTAGAAGAAGAATACACGGACTAAAATTCTGCACGGAAATACCGAAAGGCCATTTTCAAAGTTCATCTGTGAATAATCCGCTGCAAAATCTTTCCAAGGTGTTGTCTACTACATGAAGACAAGATGACATTTCATACCAAAACACAGCATAAGAATCGGATTATTAATAAACAGGACAGAAAATAACACGGTCGTACAGTTTGGATGACACAGACCAAGAATGATGCTTCGGTCGTGTCTCAAGCCTTCTTCAAAGTTTAAGAGGTTTCTCATGTTGTACGCAGCGGTTGATAAGTCAACAGCCAGCAGGCAAGTTTTTGGCCATGTCGCTACTTGTAAAATAGTTTCTGGGAAACACTACGAATAAACAGCCTTTACCGTTGTTTTTATATATGAAAACCAATGCACGAACGAAATACTATAATTCGGACAATTTACACTGGCACTAAATCACAACGTGAAAATACACTGCACGTAGATTTTCGGTAGAGCATCGAACTCAGATCCGAGATGCCTCTGTTCGAGCCTTGCCATGGATACTGTCCTTTCTTTCATCCGTAGTTCATAAATGGGGAACACTTTGAGAAGGAAACGGGAGACTACACATCATATGCTCGCAACATAGCTGTTATAAGCTTTGCCTTCAAAATAGAGCATTCTTATCTGATGGCATGGCAATAAAGATTTGCACCCCACCTTTAATTTCTGAAAGGAAGGGAATCGATAATAGACCCATCATATGCAAGCAAGACCGACATTCTAACGGTTACAAATTTTCTTTTTGCTTCTTTCTGTAACATATTTTGAGTAGGAACACTAAAACAATAAATACATACGAAAACAGCGCTGGCCTATGTAAATAATACATTGCAACTTCACACCAGAAACATTAGAAAAAGTTAAAGCTTGATACGAGCTGAGCTTGTTAAGCTAACGAGTATTTAGCTGTCCACCAATATGCAACTGATCCACAGGTACAAATGATGAACCCCGGGAATTTCAGATTCATAGGCTCGTGGCCAAACTGTGTCTCTGAAATATGAAACCTCGCTACACTGAACAATTGTTAAGAATCGAAATATTTTCATATGTATAGTTTTGTGCCAATTCGAGTTTTTATAAACAGCGGTACCGTAAATAATGCAAGGAAGCTTATACAAAAGCTTATACGTACATAATCTCTGGATAGATTTGAAAGCAGAATTTAAATTTTTGCTTACGATTTGTTCAAATTCATGGATAGTGTTTCTAAGTATCTACAGTAATTCAAAATTAAGGCATTGCTTCCTTTCCAGATTTTTAATTTCCTTCCGTCCTTACTGCATCCATGCATTTATCGTTCATTTGTTGATTCGTTCGTTCATTCACTCATTCATTAATGCATTTCTTAATTCATTTCCAAAACCCATTAACCTTTTTTGGTTGCGGAAGCAACAACTTAATTAGGTCTTTCAGTGCTCCAGTTTGATACATCTTCCGGATTCAATATTGCCATGTACTCAATATAACCGAACAAGCTGGCCTTCTCCTATGCCGTTTCTCCTTCAACGTGCGTCCTTACAGCGTACGAATTTTTCGTCGCACATTCTGATCACTCTTCTAGGCCATCACAATTCTGATCCTTCGATTTGGAGAGGTAACGGTTCAGACAAGTGATGGCATCTCCGGATTGCCGTATTTTGAACACTACTATGTCATGTGACTCAAACGGCCTCTGGAGGGAATGCAGTTAATGTAATTGGCGTTTTGTTTAGCATTTCTGCGTTCAATATCAGTGATGAAGTTGTGTAGATTGGAAAACAGATCGTTCTCCTGCTCTATTTATTACAATTATTTTTCGTTACCACAGTCCAGTTTAACTCACGCACTACTGAACTAGCAAAATGGTATTTTTAGTTGTAAGGGCACAAAAACCTGACAACAATATGTGCGTGCTACGACCAATATTTTACCTGTCACATTGAAATAAATGATCTAATGAATGACGCCATATTATGACATTTTATGCGTGAAAACGTCGAGCAAAGGACGTAGCTGAAGGTCAACGACATAAGGCATTACTTATGCTGAAATTTGAGAAGGCAAAGTAAATCAAAAATTGGTAATAAACAAGTAGTTAATTAAAATTCTTGACAGGAATCGATATCAAGATAATTCATACAGATTCGAAGCTAGGCTCGTAATTGGCACAAGCGATTTAAAGTCGTGATCCCAGTGCAACTTCGCAAATGTGCATTTTCGAAGCGTATCAGTGGCTCGTACTTTGATGTTATGAGACAAAGCTGTAGTAATAAAGTTTATCGATCGATCCGTAGTGTAAACTCGGCAGATCTACTCTTGACGAGAAATTGCTCCTTCGAGTCCGTCTGCGACGCATTAATCGACAACTAATTTCAAAAACGTTAGAAAGCTAATATTACAGGAGACGTTATAAATGAAGATTAAAAATAAAAATAGAATAGAGATAAGATAAAGATAACCAAAGAGTTCAAACATCGTAAATACGCTCTGCTTATGCATACACGCAGTAGAAACTTTCGGCAGAAAGACCCGTTCCACAAACTGCTTGGAAGAGCACCATATCAAAAGGAACTTGTACAAGTCAGCGTGTGGCAGTATCAGCTGTTCCCGGATTCGTAGAAAGCGATTACCCGCATCACAGGTCCATGATGCAGTGCACGGGTGTATTTCGTGTTATTATGTTCGTTCATCATCGCTTGCTCGTTGTGACTCATGTTTCAGGAGCCGATCACGTTGGCTAACGATAAAAATTATGATTGACGGTGGGGAGGCACCATAGCAAGCAAGTCGGCTTCGAACTCCTGAGGTGCGGAGTTAGAATGAGGAGAAATTGCAAAGTCTGCCATTATTCCATTCGTCAATAACCCGTGAGTTTACGCCACGTTCCTTCGGTGCAACAAAAGATGACTTGCGAACAACAGGCAAAGCATTGCTGTCTGACGTCAGCATGCCTAAAGGTGGCACTTTGCCTTGACGAACCTGATGGCAAAAGAAGGGACGTGAGAATCTATCGCAGCAACGAAGGCATTCACCGTCTCTGCAATTTTTACAGTCATCAAACGCATGAACGGTCATCGCTGAATACTCACAAGGTAAATGAAGATATACCTCTGCCTTAGAGGAAATGAGAAAGTG